GATTAGCTTGGGACCGAAGATAGTACCAGAGCGGAGCCAAAAAGTTGAGCACGTTTCTTCGGGACCTACTAGTTTCTCCATCGGGATCCGTATTCGGTTTCCCCATCGGGATCCGTATTCGGTTTCCCCATCGGGATCCGTCTACGAGATTCCCATCAAGACCCGTATTCGGTTTCCCCATCAGGATCCGTATTCGGTTTCCCCATCATGATACGTATTCGGTTTCGCCATCGGGTTTCGTATTCGGTTTCCCCATCGGGATCCGTATTCGGGTTCTCCATCGGGATCCGTCTACGGAATCCTCATCATGATACGTATTCGGTTTCCCCATCGGGATTCGTATTCGGTTTCCCCATCGGGATCCGTCTATGGAATCCCCATCAAGACCCGTATTCGGTTTCCCCATCGGGATCCGTATTCGGGTTCCCCATTGGAATTCGTATTCGGTTTCCCCATCGGGATCCGTCTACGGAATCCCCATCAAGACCCGTATTCGGTTTCTCCATCGGGATCCGTATTCGGTTTCCCCATCGGGATCCGTCTACGGAATCCCCATCGGGATCCGTCTATGAAATCCCCGTCAAGACCCGTAGTCGGTTTCCCCATCGGGATCCGTATTCGGTTTCCCCATCGGGATCCGTATTCGGTTTCCCCATCGGGATCCGTATTCGGTTTCCCCATCAGGATACGTATTCGGTTTCCCCATCGGGATCCTTCTACGGAATCCCAATCGGGAGCCGTATTCGGTTTCCCCATTGGGACCCGTATTCGGTTTCCCCATCGGGATCCGTATTCGGTTTCCCCATCGGGATTTGTATTTGGTTTCCCCATCGGGATCCGTATTCGGGTTCCCCATCGGGATCCGTATTCGGTTTCCCAATCGGGATCCGTATTCGGTTTCCCCATCGGGATCCGTATTCGGTTTTCCCATCGAGATCCTTTTACGGAATCCCAATCGGGACTCGTCTTTGGTTTTCCCATTGGGATCCGTATTCGGGTTCCCCATCGAAATCCGTATTAGGTTTCCCCATCGGGATCCGTATCCAGTTTCCCCATCGGGATCCGTATTCGGTTTCCCCATCAGGATACGTATTCGGTTTCCCCATCGGGATCCTTCTACGGAATCCCAATCGGGAGCCGTATTCGGTTTCCCCATTGGGACCCGTATTCGGTTTCCCCATCGGGATCCGTATTCGGTTCCCCTATCGGGATTCGTATTCGGTTTCCCCATCGGGATCCGTATTCGGTTTTCCCATCGAGATCCTTTTACGGAATCCCAATCGGGATCCGTATTCGGTTCCCCCATCGGGATCCGTATTCGGTTTCCCCATCGGGACTCGTATTCGGTTTCCCCATCGGGATCCGTATCCGGTTTCCCCATCGGGATCCGTATTCGGTTTCCCCATCGGGATCCGTATTCGGTTTCCCCATCAGGATACGTATTCGGTTTCCCCATCGGGATCCTTCTACGGAATCCCAATCGGGAGCCGTATTCGGTTTCCCCATTGGGACCCGTATTCGGTTTCCCCATCGGGATCCGTATTCGGTTTCCCTAGCGGGATTCGTATTCGGTTTCCCCATCGGGATCCGTATTTGGTTTTCCCATCGAGATCCTTTTACGGAATCCCAATCGGGATCCGTATTCGGTTCCCCCATCGGGATCCGTATTCGGTTTCCCCATCGGGACTCGTATTCGGTTTCCCCATCGGGATCCGTATCCGGTTTCCCCATCGGGATCCGTATTCGGTTTCCCCATCGGGATCCGTATTCGGTTTCCCCATCAGGATACGTATTCGGTTTCCCCATCGGGATCCATCTACGGAATCCCAATCGGGAGCCGTATTCGGTTTCCCCATTGGGACCCGTATTCGATTTCCCCATCGGGACTCGTATTCGGTTTCCCCATCGGGATCCGTATTCGGTTTTCCCATCGAGATCCTTTTACGGAATCCCAATAGGGACTCGTATTCGGTTTCCCCATCGGGATCCGTATTCGGTTTTCCCATCAGGATACGTATTCGGTTTCCCCATCGGGATCCATCTACGGAATCCCAATCGGGATCCGTATTCGGTTCCCCCATCGGGATCCCCAGACAACCCGAATGCACGTATATTCAAAGTTGTTTTCGTGATATACAAACATATATACAAACAAAAAAATCGTATATAATGCAAATAAATGGCATATACGTACAAAAGTGGAGGCCATATACGTGCATATTTTAATTTAATTTTAAACGAGTTGATTTAACATCATATACGATTTAATCTGTAATAACAAATTCATTTTGAAAAGTCTTACGATGTAATCTGATTTAATTTGTGATACAGTACGACGAAAAAATGAGTCATCGCATATAAGTCGGAAATATGCGTTCTATACGATTTAATTTAAACATAATGCGAAGCATGCCATTCTTATGCGATTTTGACTTAAACTGTAGCAATTTACGATACTGTCTGTACATTTTTATAAGACTTCTGGTTGTCTGGGTCCGTATTCGGTTTCCCCATCGGGATTCGTATTCGGTTTCCCCATCGGGATCCGTACTCGGTTTCCCCATCGGAATCCGTATTCGGTTTTCCCATCGAGATCCTTTTACGGAATCCCAATCGGGACTCGTATTCGGTTTCCCCATCGGGATCCGTATTCGGTTTCCCCATCAGGATACGTATTCGGTTTCCCCATCGGGATCCTTCTACGGAATCCCAATCGGGATCCGTATTCGGTTTCCCCATTGGGACACGTATTCGGTTTTCCCATCGGGATCCGTATTCGGTTTCCCCATCGGGATCCGTATTCGGGTTCCCCATTGGAATTCGTATTCGGTTTCCCCATCGGGATCCGTCTATGGAATCCCCATCAAGACCCGTATTCGGTTTCCCCATCGGGATCCTTATTCGGTTTCCCCATCGGGATCCGTATTTGGTTTCCCCATCAGGATACGTATTCGGTTTACCCATCGGGATCCATCTACGGAATCCCAATCGGGATCCGTATTCGGTTCCCCCATCGGGATCCGTATTCGGTTTCCCCATCGGGATTCGTATTTGGTTTCCCCATCGGGATCCGTATTCGGGTTCTCCATTGGAATTCGTATTCGGTTTCCCCATCGGGATCCGTCTACGGAATCCTCATCAAGACCCGTATTCGGTTTCCCCATCAGGATCCGTATTCGGTTTCCCCATCAGGATACGTATTCGGTTTCCCCATCGGGATCCATCTACGGAATCCCAATCGGGATCCTTATTCGGTTCCCCCATCGGGATCCGTATTCGGTTTCCCCATCGGGATTCGTATTTGGTTTCCCCATCGGGATCCGTATTCGGGTTCCCCATCGGAAGTCGTATTCGTTTTCCCCATCGGGGTCCGTCTACGGAATCCCCATCAAGACCCGTATTCGGTTTCCCCATCGGGATTCGTATTCAGTTTTCCCATCGAGATCCTTTTACGGAATCCCAATCGGGACTCGTATTCGGTTTCCCCATCGGGATCCGTATTCGGTTTCCCCATCGGGATCCGTATTCGGTTTTCCCATCAAGATCCTTTTACGGAATCCCAATCGGGACTCGTATTCGGTTTCCCCATCGGGATCCGTATTCGGTTTCCCCATCGGCATCCGTATTCGGTTTCCCCATCGGGATCCGTATTCGGTTTCCCCATCGGGATCTGTCTATGGAACCCGTCATCGGGATCCGTCTACAGAACCCGTTATCGGGATCCGTCTACAGAACCCGTTCTCCATACATTTTCGGAAAGAGAACTATATTAGAACGTTTTTACTTATGGTTTGAGAACATTAATGATTATGCCACACAAAGAAAAACCGTTCGTAAAATTAAAAAAAGCATCGATGGAATTGAAAGTTTGCGTTGGTTCTTTTTGGTAGAAAGCGGTTAGCTTTTAAATTGAAAGTTAGCCAATTGTGAGTTCAAAAGTTGCCCGCTCAAGGCTTTTAAAAGTAGAAACTTTCAAAACAAATTGTTCTACTGTCAAATGAAAAGCACGGCATGGTTGAAATTAAAAGTGGATTATTTTTAATTCAAAAAAAAACTTTTGACATTAGAGTACAGTATATTTAAAATGACAACTGTTATTTTTAATTCAAAATAAAATATTTTTAACTTAAAAGCAAGTATTTTCAATATAATAACATCCTTTTTCATTTTAAAATTTTTATTAATATCAACTTCAAAATATGTATTATCAATATAAGAATTGAAAATTAAAATTTCATTTATTTCCGAACATTCATCGGATTGGATTCCCGCATAAACGCGAACCATCACATGACCTTACCGATAATGGTTATAAATTGTTTATAATCCCTGCTAAACTTCAACTGAAATGGTTATGGAACCTTACATGAACGTTTGTGTGATAAAGTTTTAACCTTATGTGTTATGGTTTTTTGGAAGCGGACCTTACAAATAATGGGTTGTTAAGAACCATTACCATTCCAAATTCTTGTTTTCTCCATACATTTTCGGAAAGAGAACTATATTAGAACGTTTTTACTTATGGTTTGAGAACATTAATGGTTATGGTTATGGTAGTCAGTAAGGTCCATTAATGGTTTTGTATTATCACTCAACTTTACGTGAAATATATCGTGAATTGGTAATCAGTAATTTACAGGCAACCAATTCGCGATATATTCCACATAAAGTTGATCGATGTTACAAAACCATTCATGGACCTTACTGGTTACCATAACCATTACCATTAATGTTCTTAAACCATAAGTTAAAAGGTTTTAGTAAAGTTTTCTTTCCGAAAATGTATGGAGAAAACAAGAATTTGGAATGGTAATGGTTCTTAACAACCCATTATTTGTAAGGTCCACTTCCAAAAAACTATATTACTTAAGGTTAAAACTTTATCATTAAACGTTCATGTAAAGTTCCATAACCATTTCAGTTGAAGTTTAGCAGGGATTATAAACAATTTATAACCATTATCGGTAAGGTCAGTTTATGGTTCGCGCTTATGCGGGTTGGCAGTTTTTTAGAAATTTTCCACTTGAGATCCTCGTAGTACTAATTGAGCGCACTTCTCTCAGCGTCCGTCAGCTAAACCTGCCAGGACCTTCTCTAACATTTTGCACCACTGTAGAGCAACGAAATGTCTCATGTCGTTTTCGTTTTTGCGGTGTAGCACCGGTGTAGTGTAAGCAGGAATAAACACGAGTCTTTGACAGCTCAACATCATTTGTTTGTAAACAAAGGTGTATCCTATATTTACACCTTAAAGCTGGGTTTAAACAGGGCAAGTCAATTGATCAAGTCAGTTGAATTCAACTGACTTGAACGCGAATTGAACGTGTAAACCATGCCATTCAACTGACTTGATCAACTCACTTGAATTGAAAAAAGTTGAACCAGGCTCAACTTTGCAAGCCAATTGAATTCAACTGAGTTGATCATTTGACTTGCCTAGTCTAAACCCAGCATAAATTATTTCGGTGTACGGCAGTGTAGCACCGGTGTAGCTACACCGCAAAAACGAAAACGACATCAGATAGACTGGCTGATTGATTCGCCGCTGCATGGTGCAAGCGTGTTTTTCATCCTAAAATTTCAAAAGCAATCAATCAATAATTATTATTTGTTACATGGAATAGAATTTCAAATTACCGGATTAAATTGTCCGGAAAAGGATCAATATTTGCGGAATTCCCTTTGTGAGCAGTTACAGCTCAATCATCGGCTAAATAAACAATATCTTCGTTAAATAAACAATCATGGGTCGGTGGTTCAATTATGCAAATTATTTTATTTAAAAAATTACTTACGATTTATTACTATCCAATTTCAAGCAACCGAACTTATGTGCCTTGATGCCCTTGATCCACTTCTTGCCGTTAGTTTTTTTTTTTAATTAATTTTTTATTGAGATTTTTTGCACTTGGCTGTTCATCTCATATAGATCAATGCACGGTCCCTAACCTCACTTTTTGCTCCCTATCATTTTGCTTCTGAGTAAAAGAGATAGCAACGAATGGGAGCCAAAACAAACCACCCAAAACTGTCAAAACTTACGGGTGAGAGAAGAGTGCGGCAAATCTTCGTGAACTGATCAATTCTTGTCGTTACACTGTACCAAAACATCCGCAATACTTCGAATGATTATTGCATTGCTCGAGCCCTTTAACAATATGCATTCGAATTTCGGATGATTTTCTTATGGTTGAATCCGTCGTCAGATGATGAACATCCATATGACTGTCATCCAAATACAGGATGATTTTCGTTTGAAAATTAGCTACAAAACATACGGCACTCAGAGGACAAACATTTAAGAATAGTGTGACATGCAAGTGCTTTTAATTAGGTTTATAATTTGATTATGTATAATTCCATACTGAATAGCCATAATTAGCCATTCCATCATGGATACAAAATAATTTCGTGGTGGAGAAAACCTCCTCTACCACGAATTAGCCAAACATTGGTTTTCATCCTTTACCTTTGTTCGTAACAGCTCTGATAGCGATGCATATGCTTCCACCTTGTTTGTCAGCTCAGATCAACAAATGACGTTCGATAGAATTATTTACATCATCGTTTTGAATGATTTGCGTTATGGGGCTGATCCAATACCATATGCATTTCCATTTAGTATGACAGTCATTCTGCAGAGAGCATTACGCATTTCAACTGAAGGCCCTATCCCTTCTCATTACAAGTTTCATCCAGTATTCGAGAGGAAAATCATCTGATTTCAAAACAACCGTCATCCGGTTGCAGCTATCATTCGAAAAAGCGATTTCGGTCTTTTGTTTTGAATGGTCTGAGGTTTCATTCGATCAGAGGATGATGTTTGTGTACAGTGTAGTGGAGCGCCTGCACAGAAAAACAAAACTACCCACCGCTTGGGTTTTTTAAACTCAAATTTGAGTTATTTGACCTCTGTCCGTTTCATTTCCTCTCGCTATTGTTGTCAAAAATAGAACGAAAGATTCGACTCAACCGTCTAGTTCCGTACAAGAAGCCAAAATTGAGTAATATGCGATATACCCAAATTTGAGTTAATTGAACTTAATTTTGGGTAGAAAAAATTGAAAATAACTTAGCGATGGGTAATTTTTTTTGCCGTGCTTAAATGCAAACTACTTTGAGCCGGTTTACCCAAATTTGGCTTATCGTACGGAACATGGGAGATGAGTGAAAAGAACTTAATTTTGGGTTGTTTTGAATTTCTGTGTGAAGTTTCCTCCCATTTTGCGCGTTTTTTGCTCACGCTAACTTAAAACTATCCAGAAATGGGTAGAAAACAATACATGAAAAAGAAATTTTGACAGTTAAAGGCCTGTATAGAGATCGAAGTGAAGCGAAAAATTCATACAAAATACTAAATTTTTCACCTGCGCGAAAAACGCAATTGGCAAATATTTCGCTTCGCTTTGAACTGTAAACAGATGCGATCCAGCGAAATCTTATTTTGTGGATCGTATCTTTTTCGCTTAAGCCTAGTATACAGATCGAAACGAAACGAAAATTGAAGCACGCGAAAAATCATAAATTTCGCTAGCGAAAAAGGTTGTGAAAAAATGTTTGTGGAACATTTTCCAGTTTCCTTTTTTCGAAGTTTACAGTTCAGCCTAGTATACAGTTCGAAGCGAAACGAAAATTGGAGCACGCGAAAAATCATGAAATTTCGCTAGCGAAAAAGGTTGTGAAAAAATGTTTGTGGAACATTTTCCAGTTTCCTTTTTTCGCAGTTTACAGTTCATGTGAAACGAAATAGATCAGTTTACACCTCGGGGGAAGTGAAAATCTGACAGATACGCTCTCCCGAAACGTCAACTTTTCGCTTAGCTGCTGCTCTTTTCGCGAGCGCTGCATGCGCGAAAAAAAATAAACGTAAGCGAAAAAGATGCGATCCACAACATTGGATTTCGCTGGATCGTATCTGTTTACAGTTCAAAGCGAAGTGAAAAATTTGCCAACAGCGTTTTTCACGCTGGTGAAAAATGTAGTATTTTGTATGAGATTTTCGCTTAGTTTTGATCTCTATACAGGCCTTTACGTTCATTTTTTTTTCGCGCATGCAGCGCTAGCGAAAAGAGCAGCAGGTAAGCGAAAAGTTGACGTTTCGAGAAAGAGCGTATCTGTCAGATTTTCACTTCACCGGAGGTGTAAACTGACCGATTTCGTTTCACATGAACTGTAAACTGCGAAAAAAGGAAACTGGAAAATGTTCCACAAACATTTTTTCACAACCTTTTTCGCTAGCGAAATTTCATGATTTTTCGCGTGCTTCAATTTTCGTTTCGCTTCGATCTGTATACTAGGCTTAAACAATTTTCAATTTGAAAATCTGTGCTTTTAAAACTACATGCTAAAATCAAAACAATCACTTTTGAATTAAAAACAACCTTGTTGTATCACATATTTTCGTAGTTAAAATAACGAATTTTTTGATACTTTTAAATTGAATTGTTAATATTTTTACTGATACAGTTTTTGTAACGATTTTAAATTGGCTCACCACTTTAGTAGCCTATTGGTCCCAAGCAAACGATTAACGTACCCTATTCTAGTTGAAATTCTATTACTACACTATGTTTGTTTTGATTCGCTATGAAAGTTTGACAGATAACATCAGGGGTGTGTGGATTCCTGCAGAACATGCAGGGGTGAGTGAAATAGCTTGGGACTGCTTGGGACCGTTGTTCTGGTACTGAGTGAGCCAAAAATAATAATGATTTTCTTCGGGACCCAGCGGTCTTAGAGTTACCTCTATGGTAAAACCCCACGATTAGTAATAAACGCCGTAATATCAACAATCAATACGAAACTAACGATTTTAAATTGGCTCACCACTTTAGTAGCCTATTGGTCCCAAGCAAACGATTAACGTACCCTATTCTAGTTGAAATTCTATTACTACAATATGTTTGTTTTGATTCGCTATGAAAGTTTGACAGATAACATCAGGGGTGTGTGGATTCATGCAGAACATGCAGGGGTGAGTGAAATAGCTTGGGACTGCTTGGGACCGTTGTTCTGGTACTGAGTGAGCCAAAAATAATAATGATTTTCTTCGGGACCCAGTGGTCTTAGAGTTACCTCTATGGTAATATCAACAATCAATACGAAACTAACGATTTTAAATTGGCTCACCACTTTAGTAGCCTATTGGTCCCAAGCAAACGATTAACGTACCCTATTCTAGTTGAAATTCTATTACTACACTATGTTTGTTTTGATTCGCTATGAAAGTTTGACAGATAACATCAGGGGTGTGTGGATTCATGCAGAACATGCAGGGGTGAGTGAAATAGCTTGGGACTGCTTGGGACCGTTGTTCTGGTACTGAGTGAGCCAAAAATAATAATGATTTTCTTCGGGACCCAGTGGTCTTAGAGTTACCTCTATGATACTAACCACTTTTTATTTTTATGTTCACTAACTTTACTAACCTTGACACTAACTTTTCAGGTACACGCACTAGACCCTACAATTAAAGAAACAAATCACATTAATTAAAAACTTCACTACCGACACATCGCCCTTTCGGCGGACTTACGGGAAAACTTAGCACGGCGCGCACTGAGACTATTCCCGAGTGCGGTCAAGAAGGAAATGAATTTACTCCTGCTAACACGCCAAGCAATGACCGAAAAACCATGAACTACGAGCGAACCTGAATTTCACTGTATTTATCTTTTCAATTTATCTGCATTACCTCTCCCCTTGCCCCATCTATGGACAACCTTTTCGGCAGAGCGCCTGCTGTCAACCGGTTTCATGAGAGTGAGTGGTGCCGCAGGCGAATGGAACGGTATGGGAAAGTGAGAGACCAAAAGCAGAGTTGGATTTAGGACGACCATTCTAAAACACTGTTATACAGTCGATTATGAGTCTGCTTGTGATAGAGTCACAAGCCCACATTCTGGAACCATCGGTTACAATACCTCTCCGACCGGCTGAAAATGATCATTGCATCATTTTTCTTGAATGAATTACCATTAAGAACCTACTTTAACTATCTTTTTACCTTTGGTAAAAACCAAAAACTATCTTTACGGTGTTGTTTACATCGCATCTATGCTTTCTCTTCCTCTCTGAAAGAGCAAATAAACCGATGATTACTCTTTTCGAATCTTTCCAGTACGTGAGTGACTATTAGCTGTCAGTCATTGTTTATCTTTTCTAAATCGAGTCGGTCCGCGGAAAATTTATCTCGTTCGAGCTCTAAACGATGAGAATTCCGGTTAAATTTTCATTGATCGGTTTTGTTGCCATTCGGTCGGTTTGCGGGAATTCATCATGGACAAATATTCCAAGGATCAAGTGGATTTATTCTTCCGGTAAGTACTCCTAACAAATCATTTTTGACGAGCTTTCCATTAGTATGCACATCTACTATTCGATTCTCTTTTCTTAACTTTTGTTTTGTTTACTTTCAGACTCTCTCCCTGGTCTGCAGCTCCAGGAAGGGAAGTTGGATTCGCCGAAACTAGCGAGCTAAGTATCCTGTTTTTATTTTACGTCAATATCCCATTGACAAAATCTAGCGGAACTATCTAGTAATCATTCTATTTTCTTTCCGTTTCAAGTGGCGGGCTTCAAATCGGCGGAGGAGAAGATTCCGAGGTGTTTTCCGGAATCGTCAACCAACTCATACGAGCTTGTACCGATCCTGGCTTTCACGGTACATGGGGTGTAACACGGTGCGAGTTTCGCGTTGAATTTGTCTACGGCGGAGGACTGTTTGAAGCTTCTTTTGAGGACTCTCTGACCGACTTGATACACTGGTGCGGGCTTTTTCCGACGTAAGTTGTAATATTGTGAATTTTTCGAGTGTTGCTTTTGTAAGTTTTTAACTACCAGATCGCGAATAAACTGATCAACCTTAGATTTGTTTTCTAGTCTTGCTTCATCCGAAATTACCGTCTCATCCCTATCGACTCTATGTTCATCACCCCTTCCAACTACTTCATGACTAAATATGATCCTATAGGGGGAGAATCCAGTTGAGCTATGAGGAGTTGTGTTCAATACGTGTTCGACTTCCCATATCCGAGTATCCCAGAGAGTTTGGTCTGATCGGACGTAGGTACGAATGCA